AAACGCCCACTGCTCAATATATGGAAAAGCATGAGCTTGATGAGACAGAAGTATACACGACTATGTGCTTTTTACAAAGACAGGCTTCTATTATTTAAAGACAGCTCTAATTGATCTCCCCAAAGTTACCAGACAAGGCTACATGATAAGCTTGGATAATGTAGCTCTCAGGGAGAATTCAAGAGTTGTCCAAACAATAAGAGTCTTTAAAAAAACAAAACAAAACATTAATGACATTAATATAAAGGCTTCCTGTAACATTAGGCAGGAAAGCCGACTGGAGGCAGGAGAGAACAGCAGACTTTGTAATACTGCAGGTGATGCCTCATTTCTTAGCTCTGACAACGATCAGCTTTTGAACTTGAAGCTCTTTTATGTTTAAACTGAGGACTCTCTGTCAATAAAATAGGGGTAACAATGATGCCTAGTTCAAAGAATTACAGCAGAGGAGGCACAGTCGGAGTTTAAAAACTGTGCACTGTGGCCATCATTTAGTGCTAAGACCATCAAGCTTTGTTCAACTCATCTCGACTGTGAGGCAATTTCAGCCTGATGTTCAGAAGTATGCTCAGGTTAGCCAGAAGAGAACAGCTTCTCCAGAGAGTAGTGATCTTCTCTTACAAATCACTATAAACCTGTCCCTGAACACAAGCATTGTCACTAGATAAATCACATTCACAGAGTAAAACCTCAAGCCCCCAACATTTGGGTCTCCGAATACCACCGCTACTACTTCCCATTCAGGTATAGAGCTTTAAGTTTGTTTTTTTTTTTTTAATGTCTTCATTGCTTTGATGCTGGGTCACTTTTCACATATCAAAATAACTTACCTTGAGCCAGAGTTGTACAAGTATCAGGCATGTGCTGTTCACATACCTTGTATAAATTTTAGTTTTCTGAGAAAAAGAAAAAGCTTGATTGGCAACTAGGTTTCCATCAATATTATGAAAAAATGTTAAGTTGTTTTTAAACAGTGTATTAGTAGATTAATTACAAACAAACTCAAAACCTACCAAGAGCCAACAGCATACTGGCTCTCTAGAGTTCACTGTCATTTACACGGGCCAGTGAAATTTGATTTTTGAAATCAAAACAGAGACACACTCCCTGTAAACAATTTTTGAAGAGAAAAATACAGAGCTTTATCCTCTGAAATCAACAATGGAAAGAGGTTAGGAAGAAAATAGTATAAGAGGATCAAGAATAAGAGTGGAGTAGACAAGCATGCCAGGGCATAAAATGCAGATTGTTACTGATTCAAGACATGTTTACTAACACTTTTACCAACATCTTTACAAGCTAGTGTACACCACAGCAATGCTGGAAAAACAAAGATGGAAAGAAATGATGCCTACCCACAAGACTCCTGTGGAACAGTGAAAAGATATATAAAGGAGATGGGGTGGGATGGATGAAAGAAGACCAGGAAGAACATTCCCCAGGTCACTCATATTTCACTCGACAAAGAGCTGCCAAAGAGCTGGTACAGATTAAATGGCCTAGAAACTCGAACCTTGTCAGGTCGGTAAAGGCAAACATGGCTATGCAATCTCAGGCTTTATCCTCTGCCCACCTTGGTTGATACAGCCCATACCATGAGAATAAGTAAGTGCCTTGTCTCTACCTCAGCGTCCTGAAGAAGACTGAGTGAAGAAACTAGCTCTCTTCCCAAGAAACTTATTACCTGAAAACTTAAAACTCCAGTGTATAAAAACATCTAGATTTTAAGGCTAGGAAAGTGGTTCAATGGTAGAATCCTTGTTTAACATAAGCAAGACACCAGGTTCCATCCACAGTACCAAACAAAGAAAGGAAGGAAGGAAGGAAAGGAAGAAGATAAATGAAGAAAGAAGAAGAAAAAAATCTACATTTCACTTTATTTCTGAGAACTCTAGCATAGCAAGAGAGCTAGGGAGGGTCAGCTACTCCTTTACTAACAGCGCTCATTGTCTAGGCCACGAGAACACCTGTCTGACGTCCAAAGAGCCTCTGGAGGCCTGAGAGTGGAAAATGACACCTTTATATTCAAGGAAGATGGAAGCTGTCAGAGATTAACTCCCCCTTTCTTAGAATGTCCCAAGAAAAGGGGCATATTAGCAATAATACTAATAAATATAAAATAACCAATAAAATTAATCCTGCCTGTGTTTCTTTAGCATAACTTTTCATGAATATTAAAGTTTTTTCAAAAAAAAAAAAAAAAAAAAAAAAAAGCCGGGCGGTGGTGGCGCACGCCTTTAATCCCAGCACTTGGGAGGCAGAGGCAGGCGGATTTCTGAGTTCGAGGCCAGCCTGGTCTACAGAGTGAGTTCCAGGACAGCCAGGGCTACACAGAGAAACTCTGTCTCAAAAAAAACAAAAAACAAAAAACAAAAAAACAAAAAAACAACAAAAAAAAGTTTTTTAAACTGATTAACTTAAAAATTGTTTGGTGATATTCTCAAAATGGTAATCATGTTCCCTTTCAAACACTCAATGTGTCCTTTACAATGAAGTACGACCTTTCAAAAATATGTAATCATTAAGCTTAGTACAACATCCTATGAAAAGAGCACAGGCACAGCATCCAAATCAAGTCCATGAGAAAAAGCAGCCATGAACACAATCACCAAATAAAGGAAGTCAGAGTGAGTGTTGTGAATAAAAGGGAAAGTCAACAATCCTAAGAGGGATGGGGCTAGTGAACTGGCTCTGCCACCACTGCAGAGGACCCTGGGTCAATTCTTGGCACCACATGATGACTCACAACCACCTATAATTCCAGTACTATGAAGTCTGACACTTTCTGGCCTCCATGGGCACCAGGCACGGACATGGTGCACAAATATTCATGTAGACAAAACACTCATATACATAAAATTTAAAAGCAGATTGTTAACCTTAAAAAGGAAAACCAACAAACAAAAGTCAGAAGGAACCTAAAAAAATGCACCCAATGGATCAAAAAATTACTACAGTCTTGACTGTTCCTGAGACACACAAAGGAGCTGCACCCAAAGCATGTTCTTGCTCCTACACATGTTGAGCAGCTCTCAACCAACCTGCCCAACCAAGACTCACTGCTACTACACCAGCACCACTGGCCTCATCCACTGCTCATTGTCTTAGTCAGGGTTTTATTGCTGCGATGAAATGCCATGACTAAAAAGCGAGTAGGGGAGGAAAGGGTTTATTGGCTTACACTTCCAGATCTATCTATCTATTCTATCACTGGAGGAAGTCAGGACAGGAACTTAAGCAGGGCTGGAACCTGGAGGCTGAAGCTGATGCAGAGGCCATGGAGGGTACTGCTTACTGGGTTGCTTCCCCTGGCTTGCTCAATCTGCCTTCTTCTTTTTTCTTTTTTTTTTACTCTATTAATTTATTCACTTATTCACTTTACACTCCTCCTTCCAGTCTCCCCTCACGTGGCCCCTCCCCTTCACCTCTAAGAAGCAGCAAGAACTCCCTCCTGGGGAACCAACCCGCCCTGGCACCCCAAGTCACTGCCTTCTTATAGAACTCAGGACTACCAGCCCAGGGATGGCATCACCCACAAAAGGTTGGGCCCTCCTCCATTGATCACTAATTGAGAAAATGCCTTACAGTTGGATCTCATGGAGGCATTTCCTCAACTGAGGCTCCTTTCTCTGTGATAACTCCAGCTTGTGTCAAGTTGACATGCAAAATCAGTCAATACACCTTGTCAACTTGACACACAATCATTATCTCCTTATGTCCAAATGAAAATAACCAGGTCGTAATAACGTCTAACATGTAAATGCATTGTAAATTTAGAATAGGTGACAATGTACCCTGGGGAACATCTTCTTCACAAAATAGAAGCTTAGCTGGGTGGGATCTTACCCTTAGGTCACCATTCCCTTAATTCCATTTAATATCTTTAATCCGTTTATCTCCTTGAACACAGGATTAACCCTTTAACCCTTGAACCATACATTTTGTATTTTTCCTTTCTCAGCTTGCTACATTTGATCAAAACGCTCTTCCTAAGAGTGAACCACTGGACAAAATCTATGCTAGGCTGTTTTGAGATTTGTCAATACAAGTAGTCTAAATCTCTTTGCTTTAGCCTCAGGCAGACTCTTCAGACAAGGGCAAAAAGCAGACACATTCTTCACCAAAATATCCCAAGAAAGATCTCTACGCAACATGCTAAAATTCTTCTCCTCTGAAATCTCTTGAGCCAGGTTCCCACAGTTGAAATCACCCTCAGCACCACTGTCTTCCATGCTTTTATTAGTGTGGCCTATTAAGCCCTACTTAAAACATTCCACGCCGGGCAGTGGTGGCACACACCTTTAATCCCAGCACTTGGGAGGCAGAGGCAGGCGGATTTCTGAGTTCGAGGCCAGCCTGGTCTACAGAGTGAGCTCCAGAACAGCCAGGAGACTACATAGAGAAACCCTGTCTCAAAACAAAACAAAACAAAACCAAAAACAACAACAACAAAAAACATTCCACTACTTTCCTAATTTAAAGTCCCAAAATCCACATTCCTCCAAACAAAAGCATTGTCAGGCCTAACACACAATACTCCACTCCTGGTACCAACTTTGTTAGTTTTATTGCTGTGTAGAAACCGTGACCAAAGCAAGTCTTGTAAAGGCTAACATTTAATTAGGGCTGGCTTACAGTTTCATAAGTTTAGTCCAATATCATCAAGGTGGGAAACAAGACAGTATGCAGGCAGACATCGTGCTGGAGGAGCTGAGGGTTCTACATCTTGATCAGAAGACAGCCAGGCATACTGGATTTCACGTTGGGCAGAGCTTCAGCATAGGAGACCTTAAAGCCCACCCCTACAACACATACTTCCTCCAAGAAGGCCACATTTACTTCAATAAGGCCATACCTCCAAATAGTTCTACTCTCTGTGGGCCAAGAATTCAAACATATGAATGGGGGAGTGCTATTCAAACCACCACATTCCTGAATCCTGCCTGCTTCCAAGCACCATCTTTGTGCCTGCCCAATTAGCAAAGCATTCATGTACTCACTATTCAGTGAAGAACCGGGCAATGCCATACTGGCTAATATCCTCCCTGTTCTCCAGCAGCTGGCACACTGCATCCTCCATGTATGTGAGGACATGTCTCTGAGCTGCAAATAGAAAGAAAATAGAAGAGATTAAAAAAAACAAAAAGTTCTCTCAATGCCAATGAGAGGCCATGTAAGTCAAAGTGTTATTTCTGCCCTGGGGGAGTGGACTAGAATAGAGACACAAAGCTCGATGGCCATAACTGAGCCATGATAAAGGGTGAAAGAAACGAGTGCAGAACATGACGTACTGAGACCTGACTAGCTGTCAGCCCCACCTTCCATTGTTGTTTTCAGTAACTAAGAGCTTCCACTCCACTCTTTTTTGCAAGCTGTTTCCTCTGCATCTTTCATCCTTTCCCATCTGTGCATGGTCAAAACATATTTCAGGAAATGGGTTATCCGATTCTAAAGAAAATTAAGATTTAATTTTAAAACATCACTGGAAAAGGTTAGGGACCATGAAAATTTCAGTGCTGTTACAAGTATACATCATTAACCTTGGGAAACAGCAAGAACTTATTAGATATGCTTATTATTAGGCGTACAAACAACCTGTGTTTGTTGTGACTGAGAAATGTATAAATTAATCACAGGCTTGTCAAAATAAGCTCAACTCAAAAAACAAAGTATCAAAGAGACTGTTAGGGACTGGGGAGAGGGTCAAAAGGGAGTAGGACACAGGGTAGAAGAACGGAGTATGAATATGATCAATGCATTATGCATACATATATAGGAAAGTCACAGTAAAATCCATTATTTGTACCATAATTAACATGGTAATAATTTAATATTTTTAAAATATGGTCTCAGATAGGTAGGTAGGTAGGTAGATAGATAGATAGATAGATAGATAGATAGATAGATAGATAGATTTGTTGTTTATTTGGCTTTTTGAAGCAGGAGGCTAGTCTGGAATCACTATGTAGACTAGGTTGGCTTAGAACTCATAGAGATCTGCCTGCCTCTGCCTCCTGAGTATTAGGATTAAGGACATGTGCCTAGTGCCTAGTGTAAAAGTATATTAATGTTAGAAGGACCTGGGTTTGAGTGACTGCCTTTTGTAGCTTAATTTTGAATAATTACTTAATTTATACTTGATTTGGGCTTTATCAAGTGTACATAGCTGTGTAATTAAGTTCTATAGTAAAGACAAACAGAAAAAAGAAGTAAAGATGCTTGTAAGGCAGTCTTGAGAGCCAAGTTGTGAAATAATCTATGTCAAATTCTAGCACTGTTTTCATAATATTAATTATCATAATTAGGTATATTAAACTGAGAAGAAAAATGTAGCCAGACTAATATTAAAATACAATCACCTTTCCACTGCTGCCGTGTTCCCCTTCCTTTCTTCTACCCACTTAACACTGATCTTACAAAACTCTTCCTTCCCTGGGCTCTGTGGTTTTTGAAGACTTACCTGCACCTAAGGCTAGTACAAGAATCCAGTATCCTCCCCCAACCCTTTGATAGCAAAAAGGAAAGAGCTTCTACTTAGAAGCAAATCCTGGTGCTTCTCCTCCCTAGCTCCAGGGACTAAAAGTCAGTGGGAGTGTTTTCATAGTAGTTAGAATCAAAGAATTCTCATCTTGGGGGCTGGAGTAATGGAAAAAAAAAATTTTTTTTTGGAAATAGACGGGAGGGGAGTGGGATCATACCAGTTTAATAATGCCAGATAAATATCTTCCAGTCAAACACTTAGGCTACTATATTACAAATAACACCTACCATTTTGAGCCCCTATCCAACTTATCGAACAATATGCCAGATAATGTATTGATTATTCTTTTTTTGTATTGATTATTCTAATGTATTATTTTATTTAATTTTAGCAACAATCTTATGATAGGTATTTGTGGACTTCTACTTTACAGTTAGGATAGCTGAGACTTGGCAAATTAAAGCAACTCACTCAGGATCACACAGCTAGTAGTAAGAGAATCTGAGATTTAAAAAAAAAAAATCAAGGTTTGACTTGTTCAAACATCCATGCTCGTCTCTAAACGCCTCATCACTAACAGTCTGCAGTCAGCCACAGAAGCAAAAGTCACGTCTATTTTACACAGAACATAAGGCATGAGTGTAGCAAAATCACCTGAGGGGTGTGGTCCAGTCCTGTCTATGTGAACTGTGGGCATACGTGTACACACATGGGTGTCACGTGTGTGAGCACCTTTCTGCCCTGTCCCTGCCTGCATACCAGTCAGCACCTATGTGAAGTCAGGACTTGTCTATGGATTTCTGAGTGTCTAACCAAGAACTGCTCTACTACAAAGTATTCACTCCACCCCTTCGCAGGTCACAAAGTGGAACTAGAAAGTGCTGGTTCTTTCTTTAATCTGGGTGAAGGGTAGGAGTTAAAAAGCCACAGACAGGAGCGAGAGGCTCCGCTCTGTGGGAATTCCGCCCAGCCATAGAGCAAGGGTGAAGCTCTCTCTAATTGCTCTTCCTGGTCCTCACCTGCACTCTTATCAGTCTGGTGTTCTCTCTGTGGTTAAGTGTACCACTCAACCCCGGAAAATCCTTACAGTTGATCAAACTTCAATGAGACTTAGAAAGTCCAAGGCTCTTCTTGCCTGGCAGTAAACCTGTAGAGTGCTCCTTTGTACTGCTTTGTAAATGCAAAGGAATAAGCTTTAATTTATGTGAGTGATTAAAGAATTCAAACAGCGCACCTGTACCCCCGGAGGGGAAAGATAGCTGGGCACCTGAGCTGCCTTTTTGGAGAAGGAAACACATTTCAGACTGGCTTTTCCTCTTCTGCTTTGCTGTGACTTCCACAACACGATCAGGATTAAATCTTCCAACCTGTACCAATAAGGCTTCACTGTCCTGAAATCCCCATTAACGCCTAGCTGCACATGTCATGATCAGGTAGCATTGTATGAGATAGGCATTTATACCTTCGTCATGCTAAAATGAAAAACCCAAATCAAGTGTAAGTAAACATTGCCTGATCCTTACACGAACCAAGGGAGTGATGGAAACTGGGTCAGAACCGTCTGGGGTCTGTTGACTTAGACTATGCTGATCATCTTCTTTCCTTCTTTATACTACAGTGGTTCCTGCTTTAAAATGATTGGGACTAAAAATATATCTGATAACAAACTACTGCATTAGAAAATACTTGGAGTATGCAAAAAGTAACACGTCTTGATGATACCACTGTTACTACGTACTAACTATACAGATTAAAGCAGAATGCATGAATCAGGCCACCTATATGTGCAAATTACCTAACTTCACTGCTCTTTCTGTAAAATTAATTCTTCAAAAACAGTACCTATCTCTGGCATTATAGTAAGAATTCAATAATATAATAATCTCAGTATAGCATCTGCTACATAGCATGTGACAAACGTTAGCCTCCTGACCACTTATATAAAGTTCTGTTTATCCATTCAAGAAAAATATGTTCAAAGATTTAGGGGCTACATAAGATTTTATATCTACCAACTTGGCATGGTAGCACACACCTTTAATCCCAACTACTTGAAAAAGGCATGTGGATCTCTGTGAGTCTGAGACCAGCATGATCCACAGGACAGCCAGGGCTATGTAGAGAGACACTGTCTCAAAAAACAAACACCAAAAAATATTTTTGTATCTATAATACTTTACATAATCATATACCCATTTTAGCTGCGGCTTTTAAACTTGTGGGAAGCATTCACTTATTAGCTGCTAATTACTCAGAAAGCCCTAATTTACATGGGAAAGTCCAAAATGGTTTCCTTTTACCGTCTTCCCAAACATAAATACCATCAAAGTACTAGCTGTTAATTTCACAATTAAATGATAAGAGAGCCCATTTGGAAATTCTTGCTTGAGGGGTCTAGAATTTCCACCTACATCAGTTACACCATTTTCATTTTTAAATTATCATTTAAAACAGTTTCAACACTTGAGTAAACAAGTCTTACCAGGAATACATTAATGAGTTACTACACGTGCTATCAATAAATACAAGGAAATAATGCTGTAAGAAAAGGCAGGGTGTATACATTTGTATCTTAACCCTGACTTTCCCTTTCACGCCAGTCCTGTTTTGAAGCACCCTTTGTTCTTTGATTCTCAAGGCTCAAATGCTGGCTAGCACAAATAAATGTTTGCTGAACTAAATTCCAACTGTTCTTTAGGATGAGGAAACTAAGTCCGCTTAGCCACCAGCCTGTCCTGTAAACTGCTTATAAGTCTCAAGTTTAATAGTTTTTATAAATTACTAACATCATACAATAAATGATCCTGTGAAGTACAAACAAATAGCTAAATGGATTAGCAAGTTACCAGATGTCCACGTTTACTATCTGTATCTTCCATCTTTCTTGGTATTATCTTGGTCCTAGGAAACAGTGTGTTCTGCTATTTCATCATCTATAGGGACATCTTTGATCTTAGCCCACACTTAACCAATTGCCCTTGACCAAAGGGGATGAGGAAATGGGAAAAATGAGCACATTTGATTCCCACACAGCTCAGCGAAGTAGGCAAGTTTCTTATGCAGCTCTGGAGGTCAGGGAGCCAGCCGAAGCCTGTGTGCTGGGCAGAGCTAGGATTCACACTTGGATTTGACTCCCAAGTTGAAGTTCTTCCATACAAACGACTTCCCCACTTCTCAAAAGCCGAGGAAGTTACTTTACTCCAGGAATTCCAACAGGCAGGAGGCTGAGGCAAGCGAACTATTAAAAATTCAAAATCACCCAGAGTCTCAACAAAACAAGGAGGGAGCAAGAGGGAAAAAAATCAGAAAGACCCCAAATCTTCCATGTGTCCCTTCTCACATGTACTATTAGCTCTTCACTGTTAACACAAGAAAAGAAGCTTGTGTGGATAAGTTAGCTCAATTATTTGCAGGCCTCTAACCTTTAATAAACACCACTTGGCTTTCGAATCACACACTCTAATTTTAATAAACATCTCTAGGCTTTCAATCACACACGCTAACTTTGCTTACGGGTTCAGATGACACAGAAAAGCTACGTGCTAGCCAACGAATAGCAACTCTTGTCAGTTTAAGAGGCAGACTTCTTTCATTCCTTTTCAAGGTTTCTTTTCTTCTTGAG